TAACTACTTAAATGAGGGCGATTTGCGCCAATCACATTTGGTACCAAAGTATCCCACATAAGAATTAAGGATGAAAGTGGTTTCATGAGATGACCACGTGAATGAAAAGGGCGAAATACCCCAGGAGATTGCGTGATCGGCACAACGAAAGAGTCTTAGGTGTCTGGGACGGATTCCTATAACCTTGGTTCCATGGCATCGCCGGGGAATATGCCCATCAGTTGAAAGTAAAGTAAATTCCAATTAGAACCGATGTGGTATACAATACAGCATTTTCGTATGGAGGAGAATTACTTATTTCGGTGTTCTATTACCACCGCATGTCAAGTATTTAATGAGTAAGGCGGGACACTTGGACGGGGAATTCGAGTATGGGGTGAATTTCAATATCAAATTATATTATGTCCTCACTGAAACGTCCATCTTTATGGATAATTGTATTTTTGCATATGTTACGTCAAGTACTATATATATTTTATTGGTGGGTTGCTTGTAGTTGCAAGTAGTAGTTGGAAAACGGGTAAAGGTACCAGAATTTGGCGTGAAATGAATGTATAAAAGTTCCCTATGATGAAATAAGGAAAAACATATTACAATTTATTGAAACAGTGTAGGCACGATAACAACTGCTTGACTCAGCCCAACTAGCTTAGTCGTATTGTGCTAGAATCATAACGATGAATAGCGTGTGTCATCAAACATTTCCTCTGATTTGCGAAAGACGTACCTGCTGAGATAACTCAAAGTTTGAACCAATTGTGTACTCATGAACTAACTACTCATTAGTACTGCGATCTGAGGAATCTCAAATTACATAAAACGGAGTAGATACCTTTTTATTTTAGATGACAGGTTGTTCGTCGCAACGAAGGAACGGCAAGTATTGGCGAGTTCACATTGAGCGTTTTAGTTCTACGTCTTTGCATCAGAATGTATGAACGTGAAGGAAAATCTATGCGTGCTCAATTGATTCAGTGATGGAGAGTTTTTTTACAACTTATTGATGGTAAATTACAGATACGAATTCATACGCACATCATCCAGGCGATAGATAGAAAATTCGATTTACTTCCACCTTATTTAATTTCACGTAAAAATTAGAATGTTCTTGCGCAGCGATTTTAGCTGCCTGAAATAAGTTGCAATGCAGTTTCGTCTGTGAATTAAAACAGTTACTGAAACATTTTCAATTGTTGTCCCAACAAATGCGATTTATTCAATCTCAAATACGAGTGTTGCAATAAACAAATAAATTAGAAATTATTTCAATGATACCCTTTTTCGGTTTAGTGTAACCAGATAACACTCCAAACACCTGTTGTCTGAATAGTCAAAAAAAGAAACCGTGGCCGATTACGACATAAATGCTTTACTATAGTTAACCTGATTTCGCGGCAATTTCGTTTCAAAGTACCAAAGTGAAGTGAACAAAAGAATTGCACATGAATGAATTGCACTTATCTCAGCTGGAGTGAAAAATCGTCAACAGCTAACGGTAAGTTTCAGCTTCGCACTAAATGAAGTTCAAGTTGCCGTCGGTTGGTTTGCATAGGAAAGTGAATTCATCCTAAACAAATCAGGTGCTTTTCACCAAACAAAAATCGCGGAAGTATGTTACAACGGTTTTAGCCTTGTTAGGAATCGCCACATGAACGATCTGCGCTAATGCCAAATACATCAGATTATCAAGACAAGGTTTGGTAGAAAAAAACCTTAAATTGTTGATTGTGATCGATCCCGTGTCGACATCATAAAAGCACTATCTATAGCTAAACTCAGGAACGACAATACTTGGTTTCCAGATGTGATGGAGACACAAAACCCTATAACCGAAAAATATTTGAATGTCTCAGGAAATTCCATTTTGCAGCCTGTTGTTTCTTGTTTAACATGATTCTTTAGTGTGATTGAAAGGAAGTGAACCCATTGCCAGACTATAGATTTATTCAATCCAAGGAAGCCATAATTCTAGCGCATTAAACAATTACCTAAGTTACTGATTGCAATTACGAAAAAGTAATTCGTTATGCAGTAGTGTGTGGTAAATGAATTAGATTCGTTGTCACTGGCAATCCGACTATCGAAAGAATATTTATAATAATGAAATTCAAGCAAATGGTCTTAATTAGGAAACAATATAGTGCAATCTTTTCCATATTTTTACTTTAAAGGCACACACCTAGTAACGTCAGTGGAGCATCGATGAAGGAATTTCATAGAATACACAATAAGGCATTATAAATATAATAATAATTAAAAAATCGCATAGACCATCCGTGTTCATGCCAGATACTTTTATTGTGCAACAAGGCTATAAGGGTTAACCGGAAAAATCTGCCTAGCACACACGAATATCATCCACTCGTGACTGTAACCTATGGAAGTGTCCATGTAATGATGGTGATTCCTGAAATTGTAACAAGGTGTGCGACCTACAGCAATCAAAAGGAAGTTCTTACCACTTAGTCTCAGGATTGCTATTCCTTTTTTGTATTTATTGTAAATTCAATATGTTTATTGCATCGCATTTCATGTGCAACATACAAAACACTGGGACCGAGAGCCCCCACAGTGGATATGATTAAACATTGCACGATAACAAACTCAATTATCACTTTCCGTTATGTCTGCTCGAATTCGGTCGGGAACAGTATTGATATGCTTTATTATTTTGTTCAAACATGATTGAAGTTCGAGTATGTCATTGCCCATGCCACTGCTTTGCTGGATGACAATAAACAGAAATTCCCACACGCTTTGAACCATATGGATATCTATGTATCCATTGATGGTAAGTACTTTGCGCCATCCAAGTGCAAATCGCTCATTCAAGACTGATAGGAAAGTGTAACTGCACTCACCTTCTACGGTGATCAACTGTAGGTTATTGGGAGCTTAATCGCAGCTGGAACTGGTGTTGGAGGAAACAGCACATCCAAAGTAGAGAAAACTAGAGTAGATTTTACCAACCTGTGGTTCCTGTGGCACTGCTATGACATCCGACCGTTTTCAAAGGGAAGGATGTACATCGCTGCCGTTTGTAGTGGTGTATTTTGCGGTTGTGAAACACAGACTCTCCGCGTTGAAGATACTAACCTCCTGCAATCGACCACTGATGTCTCCAAAGCATCTCTGTGTCCTATGGGAACATCGGATGCATAACGAGTAGATTCATCGTCGTGTTTGGGGTGTAGGTAGTCATTTTCCAAGACAGATGACCTTTCTATACCGCCTTCGGCTGCTTGGTTGCGTTTTGCACGTGTCTCCCCAGCATCTACGCTCCTGTACTCTCTTAGCAAGGCTGGAAGAGACATCGAAACGGTCAGGCCACGACATGACATAGCAGTATATAGAAGCTAATTCCAGCTTTGGTTTCGGTTGGTGCAGCTCGCAGTCCAGATTGTGGTCTAAGGAATGACTATGTTCGTTGGTTAGATATTGGGATATTGAGCAGAATTGGAGTCAGTGGCACAAATTCTGGGTAGTGTCAGTTGAAATCCCATGCTCCATAAAAAAACATCAACTAACATTGCAGAATATAAAAAAATGCACAGTGAAACAAAAAATAGTTTTTTTATACCGTTTTCTTTAAATTTTTATTTCACTCTGTTTTTAACCCCACTCTCCATGCTTTATTAATAATTTTGTTGCATGGGCACCTTGGTTTTACGCAAGCC